CTAACTACTGAGCAGCTGCGCAGACGAGTTGTTACAACCGTATCCCGTTACAATCTTGCCCAGTCTCCCCTACCTTTAAGGCCTATTCAAACTTGAGCGATATTCGCTGCCGCTGTGGGTAGAGGTACATACCACGCGGTAGCGAATACCGCTTAGGTCTGAACGAACAGTATTATTACCGCATACCCACTGGGTTTTCTCTGCCGCAGACGGTAGCGAATACCGCTTAGGTCTGAATAGGCCTTTATATCGATATAAAAATAAAAAGGAGAAAATATTCGAGAGAAAAAAGGATACCACAAAAAACAGTCAATTTGGAGTAGAACAGTCCGTGTTAATTCTAACCTGCACATTCTGAATAGGAACGTTTTGCCAGTGTCCGCCATCAAAATTCACGTTTCGCTTCCTTTGAATGACGGCAGGCTAACGAGTGGCCAGCGTACTGGAATGATGCAGCGGAACTGAGCTGTAACCATAACTACCTAAATAGCTCACGTGTGGTATATGTTGACGACCTCCTATTAAAATATTTACCCGGTGATATCCATCAGGAATTTGATATGGCTCAATTTTACAATATATCAGTAAAATTGAGGAATCATGTACACAGTACAAGATAGGTCTTATGTACAAGAATGATCCTTTAAATCTGCAATGTTCTAATCCAACTTGAAAACACTTAAGGTTCAGCCGAACCAACGCGATCACACGCGATCTGCCGGCGTGCAGCGATGGCGACCAGACTTAAATGCATTGATCGCCATCGCTGCACGCCGGCTGATCGCGTGTTATCGCGTTGGTTTGGCCGAACCTTTAGGCATAGTATCTCTACTACATTTCAAAAGTGTGTATTCTCATCTGAGGTATTCTTTAACCGCTTGAGAAGATCACAGTTAAAGTGGATCCTGAGTATTAAAAAGATAACTGTTTTAATTTTATCTAATAAGAAAACTTTTAATTCTCAGTTTAACTGTTCAATTTGTATCGCAAAAATTACTTATTATATGTATTAGTAAGTCCCGTTAATCCCTCTCTCTAAGTATATGATTATGTTAAGGGTGCATTCACCACTATAACACTCGTAGTCCAACGGACATCGGGATTCCTTAATTTGTTACTTTAGAAAAAGTTTTAATAAAATCTAGTAGCACAAGCAACTCTCACCACCCAGCAAGGTTACAAAACTCGTATAAAAAAGGAAAACTTCTTCATTATGCAATTCTACTGTCAGCAATTTACCAAACCCGCGTCCTCGAGATCTCCCGAGGCGTCCTACAGTAACTCATTTAGAAACATAAACTTATCTACAAATTCCACCAAAGCAATAAAAGATTTCCATTTCAACTCCAATATACTTACAAGCTGGGTGCTAGGAGTACACTCAGCTGGAATAGTTTGCTATTTTTGTATAATTTTAAGAAAATATTCAGATTCTTATAGCAAATTAGGCAGTCGCTTTTTTAACGAAAAAGACAATTTATACCTACACATGTTTGCGCAGTTTTTGACCCTGTTTAGTGGCTTTTTTATTTAGAAGGACTTTTTTTATAATAAGAAGGATATCAAAAGCTTATTAATGAAAGTTTTTCTTTTTTAATTCATTATCATTATTTTCTACATAAAACAAAATAATTATTTCCAGACGTAATACCTCGAAGAGCCCTAAGATTTATGTAATGTTTACAGGGATCGAACCCACGTACTCTGGCGTATTCTCTCATAAGACCACCAGACAGCTCTCTAATCTGTAATCAGTAGGGGTGATTTTTAAACCGTTTTCAAATTACATAAATTGTAAAAGCAGTAGATTTGCTGGCAAAGGTGACTGAAATTCTTCCGCCACTTGTTCTCAGCACCAGCCCATAGGTTGTCGTGGAGTGGTGGTAGAGCAATTTATATTTGTTTATAATTTATACTTATTCACGACCCATCGTGTACAAGTGCCCTGGAAGGGGCTTACGTAGGTGCTGAATAAATCATTTGAATTTGTATTTTTAATCACATTTTGTTGCCGAGTGTACTTTAGCCGTAAAACCAATTGCAAGTCAACTGCGAAATATACGGGTGCATTCCTGGTCGGTATTGCAGGGGTGCGCGATCGCAATCCTCAGTCAGGTGCAGTTAATAAATTTTGTTTAATGTTTTATACTATTTGCGCGAGCGGCTCTAGTGTTGCGCGATATTCGTACTTTATAGGGTGTTATCTAAAACTATGGATTATTTTGAAGAAGACACGTAGGATTATGTGACTCCTAATTAATGAGCTAGCACGTTTTTAATTTCATCAAGTAAATGACTTCATTCTCAAAACACGACGTTTAAACACAAGCTATCATATCAGTCATAATTGATTTTAAACCATAATAATTAATGAGTGTTATAAGGTACTTGCACTACTGAAAATTATTTTCTTGATTATAAGATCTAGTCAATTTGAGCTCTGGATACAATATATCAATTTTCAGTATACATATTTCGGACTACAGTTGGGAAATTATTTAAAGGTCAATTTAGAAACAAACCTGTTGTTAAGGAAAAAGATTTGTGTCAGATAATAGAGCTTTTTTTATTTTCTTGACTGGAATTCAAACGATTCAGGCGTAACATTGTTACTAACGCCGGATTTCTAAACAATCTTTCGTCAAATCCGTCCGTCAAATTTTCATCTGGATTAGTGCTACATGCTTCCCAATAATGTATCCACGAATAGAGATAGCTATCTTCGCTTGCAATCTATTCATGGGAGGGTCAGATCAAAATACGGATTGACCCTCTGTATGAAAATGATAGTTACTAAGCAATTATCATTTCGACTAATCTCTCAGCGAAAATTGGGCTCGTGCAGGCAATAACTCTATATTAATTTACTATCTTCCACGCCCTTTAGCCGCGCCTATCCCTAACTGGCGTGGGTCACGCGTTCGATTCCCGCCTGAATCACGTTAATCGCCGTCCGGGGTGGATTATGCGGATTTCATAGGCTTTTATTACCCGCGGTGTGGCATTTGCATAGCGTGAGTGATAGTTATTTGGGCTTCGTAGTACTTAGGACGGATTTGCTGACGTGTAGAGTGAATTATGAATGAGCGGACGTGTAGTTAGTGCGATTAGTGGCGGTTAATCTTTGCTGGTTTATGAATTATGCTGCTTATTAAGTCAAAAATATAGTTAAAACATAAAGTACTAAGGCTGAGTAACGTAAGCTATAACGATAATCGGTGTTTTTTGTATGGAGTTTGCCAAATTGTAGACGTTTCTAAAAGTTATAGTAGGATGGTGCAACTCACTTTAGTGTTTTTTGTAAACATGAATTTTAACACAGACCCATCTACCTAATCACCTGTTTTGATTGTACAAATTAATAACTTTATACATATTTCTTTTTTAATTAGTAAATTATTTGCTTTAGGTTTCGATTTAATAAAAGTATGTGTATCTGTCTGTATTTTATGTAGTGAAAAGGTCACGTTCTACTCCTACGAATACCTACTGCTGAATTGCTGAAAACTACTATTTATAGACTGCTTGAAAGGCTTTCGTAAAAGTTGTTTTAGGCATTACGTGCGATTGAATTTAATAATGTAGAGTTTATGTTAGAATTGTGTACTTTTAAAATGTCTTATGTGTTGTGTGTAATAAGTATGTTTAGTTTTGATAAAAACTCGAAGTAGTGATTTATAGGTTTAAATAAAAAACATAATTAAATCACGCGTATTTATTTTTTATTAACTCGAGTGTGGTAGCTATGCTTTTCGCTATTCTCAACCAATACACATTAATTGACAATAATATAAATTATGCTTACAATTAAGGGTACAAAAATAAAATGTAAAAAATCACTAACTATCTACATATAAATACGGGCGAATGTATAACTTTTTAACTCTAAAAATTCAACACATTCATATTTTTCAAAAGCTGATTTTAAAATAATAAAACAAAACTGTTTTAGCGTGAAAATGTGAAAACTATGAAAGATTTTCTATATGATTAACAATGACGTTATTTAAAATTTTGACAATAAAACAAACGAAAAATTTACCAAATTTTATATTTTCTAAAATATTATGTTAGTAACCTTTTATAAATAAAAACAAATCTGCAAATCCAACACTGTTTTTTTAATAAAACATTTTTCAAGGACATTAATTTACAAATGTTCGTTATTTTTCTATCTACAACAAACAGATCTATTCATATACAGGACATGAAGTCTTTTCATTACCTAATATTCATATTTTCATCATTTTACATTTAATTCATACATTCGTTAATTTACATTATTATTTTGAATGCAATGCTAAAACCAATACAAAACTTGAAACGTTAGGAAAGACCTATTTTATTTATACAATACTAAACTATTTAAAATCGCTATCAGTCTGAATTCAACAACAGTAAAACTACACTATTATGTACAATTAATTATTCGTAAATCATTGGAGTGGTTTTGGTGTAGGGAAGTCTATTTCGAGTATAACCGAGAGTTCGGATATGATCGAGAATTCGAGATTCGATTACTAAGTTAGTATGATTTTTTTAAACAATTTGTATATTTTCTTTTGCAATAATTAAAATTATTTAAAACTGTATTTACGGTATGAAATTTAGTTAGTTTATTTTCTTTTGCAATAAGTACATAGATTTCATTATTTGAAACTATTTACGGTATGAAATTAAGTTAGATGGGATCAGAATGGAAAGCTGAACTAAGTGATCGATCGAAACAAGTTGGATATACCTGAAATTCGCCAAAAACATCGCAATAGACCTCAAATAAATAATGCTTAGAAAAAAGTGCCTTAAAATGAATATACAACCATCTACTTAGTTCTTGCAGAGGTTTTCGATAACTTGAAAATAGCGATTGATCAATATCAATCCAAGTGTATTCAGAACTTGAACAGTTTTAAGCTGAGTTGCACCATCTTACATTAACAGTAACTATAAGAATTACCAGTGTTTTTGTATGGAGTTTGACAGACTTTCTACATTTGTGAAAGTCAAAGTGAAATGGTGCAACCCGTTTACCCAAAGGCAGTTATTTGGGTAAACGTTGAAACTTTGATTTCATATTAAGGCTTATTCAAATAAATCTTTTAAAATCATTTAAATATGAATGCATTTGAATTGCAACTTTTTCATTATTTGACCGAGTAGACGTTTTTCGAGCTGAAATGTAATTTTTGCCGATGTAAGATGCAAATAGGATTCTTAGAAATTCATACGATTGTGCGGAGTGCCCTCAGGCTGCGCTGGAAAATATTTTCTGGCTCGCAGCCAAAATGCAGGGAAGAATCCTCGTGATTTTCATCATCATTTACAAAGTAAATCAGGTATTAGGCAAGAGGCGAGTTATGAAGAACATAAATACGTAAAATATCTTTCGAAGAATCTACAGTATTGTTATATTTTTGTTTGGGGAAATGATACAATGATTGGGACACACCGGAATAAATATTATAAATGTTTATGTATGATGGATTGATACAGCCCATCACGACTTCCAACTACGCGTGTAAGTATTTTACTAAACTTACTTTTTTATTTATCGTCGAATGGAAACACTGAAACCATTCGAATGAATCGAAAATAAATTACGTGCAATATTTGTTCTTGAACAAATAAAGGAAAAAAGTCAGTTCATTATTTAAATATCCACAGAAATTTATGAAATCGTGTAACAATTTCCTTACCAACCGCGTAGAGTCTCAATTATTATTAAAAGTACGACAAAACGAACGGGTTTTTATAATTGGAAGCTGAAAATATTGCTTTCAGTTGACGTTTCATTTCCGAAACCAATCAAGTTTCATTATAAAGCACTGGTATTATTTATAAGGGAAATTTATTTATATGCGGTCAATCAGCATTTATATACTAGACATATAGGCACATCTGGGAATACGAAACTTAAATTAATACATTTATTTAGCTATCTTTTACAACATTTAATTTTATTTTACTATATTATTATTACTATTCTAGTCGTTTAGCGATTACATCACTAATTTAGGCTTATCCTTAAATTATTGGCAAACCTTATGTTGTCTAGTTATTTATAATCTGGCATACTTGAAGTTATTAGAAAATGAACTAGCTTATTATTACAATTTGATAAGTCAACTCATAATAGTACATTATGACATTAAATTAGTTATTATTAATTAGTCAATATTACAGCCCAAACCACACACAAAATGGCAGGCAAAATGAAGAACAGAGACATTACCAATTCACAAGCATTTTAAAATGATTTTTGAGACACTTGCCAGAGTAATGTAGAGCAAATTGTGTTGAAACGGGTATTTCAAATACCGTTAATTCTTTCTTTGGAAAACTTTGGTAATATGTAAAGTTTAATATGACTTGATAATGTGACCGAACACACAATTTTAATAATTAATAAGTACTAAAATGTGCCTGGTTTTAAATAAACATCTTCTTATTTTATGTATTTACACCTGAATACATCTTGACTGTAAAATGACAGAGTTTATTATTCCCCTGCACTTAAATAATAATTCATAATAATCGTTGTTGTCAGTGTAGCCGATAAATAAATGATTGAACACTATTCTCTTTTCTGGTCTTTTGATTTGAATATAAACCCGTTGCACGAGGCTGACATTAAGTTAGTAAACAATATTCCACTTAAACAATAAAAATTAAGCCATTTTCTTGCGTATACATAAAGTTTTATGTTCAAAAACGTGTCTATCCGTTCACTTTTGACCGGTTTTTTCGGAGATTTTCCTAGAAATACAACTCTAGATTGTCCTTACAGCTAGTATCATAGTCTTTGGTGTAATTTCACTAGAGGCGGGTTTTGCACTAAATGGTTTTAGTCACAATACTACTGTCACTCGGGCTTGAGCACTCGTCCAGCCTTTGGTTCTTCAGGTCCTGAAAAAAAAAGAAAATAAAGTAAAAAAAAAAAACACTTTACCAATGGGCGACCATATTTTTACACAATTTTACAATCTGAAAAGTACCTACAAAAAAACAATCAAATTCAAATTCAAATTCGTTTATTTCTTTAACTTAGCCTAGTTCAGTTACAAGTTGTTGGAGCTTCCTGTTAAGCAACAGATGTTACTTGTGCTAGGAAGCACCGCTCTTCCATAACAATATTACAGTAGGTAGGCAAATTTAATTTTTAATGCGTTTAGTGTGGATAGAACAAAATAAATAAATAAGTACACTTTATAATATTTTACAAATGAAAATTTTATAAGTGAAAATTTTAAAATTAAAGTTAAATTAATTCGAAAATACTAATTAATACTAGAACCCAGGTAAAAAATATAATGTGCGAGTGTGTAATGTGTGTGTATGTGTAATGTAAGTGTATGTGTAATGTGTGTGTATGTGTAATGTGTGTGTATGTGTAATGTGTGTGTATGTGTAATGTGTGTGTATGTGTAATGTGTGTGTATGTGTAATATATGTATATGTGAATCATACCATGAATATAAACAAATCAAAATTAATCTCGATTCATTCTTAAGACTATTCTATTCATTAGTAAGGAGAATAAAAGTCCATCTCATCATCAAAATAATTCAGTCTTGGGAGTTAATGATATTAAAATCCGAGCTCATCATTGTATTGGCAAAAACTCCCAAAGATAAACTTTAATAGGCTTTTTGTAAGTAAGCCGAATTCATTGCTCTCGAAAAAATAATCTTCGAGTTCAAGTGGTGCAATTACCTTCCCGATCCGCGTATTTTCTAAAAAAATAGTATGTCTCGTAACATAATTTCCTTTGTCGCAGAAGAATCAATTTACAACGTAACACGAGCAAAAAATTGCTATAGAAACTCTCACATGAAAGGTTACTTATTGGGTTCTGCTCAATTTTTACATAAGATATATTTTCGCACGGCTTAAGAGGATGAGGGACCCGATGTGTTGGTTTTAGATTTAGGTCAAAGGTGAAATGAGCATTAGGGGATTTTCCATAAGATATTGATTTAGAATAAGTGGGGTCTAAGGTCACAGAAAGTTTTGGTCTTGGTAAAAAACATGCCGTATATGCATTTAGGGTATATTTTGAGGTAAAAAGATCTAATATAGGTACCGGGTTTTGAGCAAATAATAATCAAATAATTTTGAATCTCTTTCAGTCTCTCCATGAAAGGCTTTTTTTGTATAAATAAAGTCGTTTCTTTATTTTTCACTGCTTTATTGGCTTCAAACTTGAAAGACAGCAGTTTTGGATTTCCGACTTTGATGAGAGTAATCAATATGTGTGACGATAGCGTTTTGTCTGAGTCATTTATAGACGAAGCAATTTATAGATACAAAGTTAAATTTTCAAGTCACAAGCCCTACTTATATCGAACTAGCCCAAAATGTATGATAGATTTCATGATGGTAGATATGGTCAGAATTCCATATTAGAAGGCTAAGGGTCCCACGCGCATTAGGCGGCCAGGCCACGCGGCCAAGTAACTACTACCAACTATTTCTAACCCCAGGCCCGCGGGCCACAGTGTGGCCTGCGAAAGACTTAAAATATGCACCAAATTCAAAAAATACAGTAACTGAAATAGGGATCATAAGTGGCCCGTCGTTAACGACTGAATCCACCGTTTGGCCCGACTCTTCAAAAGTTTGAGTAGCCTCGGTCCAAATAAACTTACCCTGGAAGTGGCCAGCCTCTGCACGACTATCTCGAGCCGGTCGCCCGCGGACGCTATGAGTGGCACTGTCAGGCAGCAGTCGTAGTCCACTGTTCTGGTTCCGTTCACCTGGTTACAATAGAATAGAATATTTTTTATTTGACGGAAGGTACAGCCAGCGAAAGGTGATTTCTTCTTCTTTTCGTGTCGACAACAAATCTACACAGTGTCAGCCCAAAAGTGCGTTGTCAGTAGCACTCGTCAAATCCTCCTGAGTGAAGTTGCTTGGGCACTCAGGGCACGACATCAGGTGCTTCATCGACTGAGGAACAAAACCGCACCTGCACTCCATGTTTGAGCCATCCAGGAATCCCCACCTGACCATATTGTCCTTACTACGGCCAACCTGCGTCCGAAGTCTATTTAAAGACTTCCAGATAAGCCAGGGGAGTTCATGTCCAGGTGGAGGACTCTCAGACATAGGGACAAAAGGGCAGGGGAGATCAACTCTCTCGCGCCATAACCTGCATCTCTCTCAAAAGGTGACTGATTGTGAGTTTCTTGCGCCACTTCTTCTCAGCACTAGCCGATAAGTTTTCAGTGGTCTCTCTCTAAACTGATTTTCAGTGGTTTTCCTTTGTAAGTTTTAGAATGTAAATGCAATATAACTACGATATCCCAATCTGACTGTAGATATAAATAATGCAAGGACAATATCCTTGTCAGTCATTATGAACGACAAATTAGCCCAAGTCGAGACTTGAACTCGAGTCTCCACTAAATGTGAAGGCACGTAGGTAGGTATACCAATTAATCTAATTTAAGGTGAATGCTGTACGCATTATTCCATTTATTTAGTACTTACACTATCTTATCAATCTTAAAAATAAATAACATCTATCTGCGGAAAATGTTATTACTGTAAAAGGGTCAGGTTACTTAAGACAAGGTGATTTACCTGCAATATCCTATCATATGGCCTGAGCAGACCGACTATGTCAGCCGGGCCGCCTTTCCTGATCCTATTGATGTACACGCCTCTCTCGTACAATCCATCTGACACAGAGAACCCATAGTCGTCGTATATGGCATCTTTGTACAGGATCACGTGATGGACGGAACCACGAGCGGGCGATACCGTTTCGCTGCTGTAAAGACCTGGAAAAGGAGATTCAAAGTCAAAATTTCTTTATTTGTATAAATTATTATACAGGGTGGAATTTTGTAATGCCACCTGGAGGGAAAGTACTCTTAATATTGTAGATAGAAAAAAAATCTCAAAGAAAACATTCCTTTATTTTTTAAAACAAATAGAACTGCATTCAAAGATTTCCAAAAAATATTTGCCACACCCGGGAATCGAACCAACTAACTGTAATCTGTTAAAAATTACACCCTGTATTTTTATTGCATCGATCGTTAGGGTCAAGTATAAGGATGAAATCTCTCTAACAAACTTGATAAATCAAATGAAAGGAAATCCATAAAATCTTAAATTATTTTAATTATGTACAGAAACAGAAATAGTGGTAGTGGAAAAATTTTTTTTTCGAAAATCTATGAATGCAGTTATCTTTCTTTTCAAAAATAAAGCAATGTTTTCTTTCAGTAAAATTTTCTAACTGCAGTATTAAGAGTACTTTCCCTCCAGGTGGCATTACAAAATTCCACCCTGTATAGTGCTTACAAATCATCAAATATTTTGCTCTTATGGAGCCTCTACATGTCTCATAATCTTTTTACCCTACCAGCGCTTCGAGTTATAGTAAGAATACGCTAGTTTCCTAAAAAAAAAAAATTTAGACCGTCCATTTTATCATAAAATATTGGACACGTATATTTTTGATTGTCAATCAAACAAATAATAACAAAGTTATGGTGCGTTGAAGTTCCGCGCGACGTCACAAAATGCTGCACTTTTGCATTCATTGACGGCACGGGACTCTTTAGTCCAGTCATTTAAGCTTAAATTAGGTAAGAATCTCGGAATTAAAGATACCCAGCTGTAAGTCTGTAAATACTTGTATATTGACACCCTAAAAGTTGTCTCAAAACCTACATATGGTAGGGTGTAAGCAACTATTAAATTTTAAGGTCAAAGGTCACAAAAATCGGTTTTTTGCGCTTTTTTTGGAAATATCTCATTTCCTATGGGTTTTTTGCTATTTGTATTTATTATCAATATTGTAGAATACTAAATTCTCTACAAATTTTGTTCAAAAATTTTTTTTATACGGTGAACCGTTTTTGAGATAGAGGGCGGAGAGCGCGCGGTCACTGCATCACTTCAGGTCAACTTAAGCGGTTTAGGTTTTTCATACAAAAGGATTTTCCCGCTAATTCCCGTGGGAATTTCGGTAATTACTTGTTGTAAATAAGCTTTAAGTTTACTAAGGTACCTACATGCCAAATTTCAAGCGTCTAACTTCCGTTAAGCGTTTAGATTTTTCATACAAAAGGATTTTCCCGCTAATTCCTGTTCCCGTGGGAATTCCTAAGTATACTATAACCTGCCCAGGTGTATGAAGAATAATTGTACCAAGTTTCGTTAAAATCCGTCGAGTAGTTTTTGTTTCTATAAGGAACATACAGACGGACAGAATTCTATACATGAAATATATTTTCAAAATAACTATCAGGGGGTGATTAGTGATCGATACTGATGCCAAAAATGCAATCAGTAAAATTTTTGTCTGTCTGTCTGTCCGTCTGTATGTTCCTTATAGAAACAAAAACTACTCGACGGATTTTAACGAAACTTGGTACAATTATTCTTCATACACCTGGGCAGGTTATAGTATACTTAGGAATTCCCACGGGAACAGGAATTAGCGGGAAAATCCTTTTGTATGAAAAATCTAAACGCTTAACGGAAGTTAGACGCTTGAAATTTGGCATGTAGGTACCTTAGTAAACTCAAAGCTTAGTTACAACAAGGAATTCCCGAAATTCCCACAGGAATTAGCGGGAAAATCCTTTTGTATGAAAAATCTAAACCGCTTAAGTAGACCTGAAGTGATGCAGTGACCGCGCGCTCTCCGCCCTCTATCTCGAAAACGGTTCACCGTATAAAAAAAGTTTTTAAACAAAATTTGTAGAGAATTTAGTATTCTACAATATTGATAATAAATACAAATAGCAAAAAACCCACAGGAAATGAGATATTTCTAAAAAAAGCGCAAAAAACCGATTTTTGTGACCGTTGACCTTGAAATTTAATAGTTGCTTACACCCTACCATATGTAGGTTTTGAGACAACTTTTAGGGTGTCAATATACACGTATTTACAGACTTACAGCTGGGTATCTCGAATTCCGAGGTGAACTTACTATAATGACTGGACTACTTCTTTTGAACTTTGGCGCGCTTTATCTCTTTAATATTCATTAGTTTGAAAAAGTGAAAAATACGTATCGAGTATTTTTTATATGTTAACTGACGGACTAATTAAAACCACGGTTAAAACTCTTGCTTAGGATGGTGGAAAACTGAAAACTAGTTTCCGGCATGGGTGTTGATGCGGCGACTTTTGTGGGGTCGTCACCATGTAATCCATTATTCAAATAATTGTTGTCCCAGGAAACATCTCTATTCTGATTGCTTTATTTTTTGTTTTCTATCCATGAAAATCATAATGACATAAACCCACTACCTAAGTGGAAAGGTATACGCGAAAATTGAGAAAGGTAATACTTAGTCACAGGTACAGATTGTAAAAACTGTATAAAATGTTTTTGCAGAAAGTATATTGCTTTTACGATTTTTGTTACTTAATGAGAGCCTCTTATCTTTTTCTAATGTACCTAAACTAACCTAACCTAAATATAAAAACAAACTTATTTTTCATTATTTACATCTCTAATGTTTTACTTTTCCTACGATAAGCTACTCGTCGATACTTACCTGGGACTTCATTCTCATAAATAGGACTGGTGGAGAACTGAAAACTAGTTCCCGGCATGGGAGGCTTATGCGGCGACTTTTGTGGTGTCGTCACCGTGTATATCCCATTGTTCAAGTAATCGTTGTCCCAATTCGGTCTCCTGGTCTTCGGAGAGACCATTCCATAAGGACCCATCTGCACATAATCACATTTGCAAGACGCTCGCTCCATGTTATGCAGCTGACAATCCTTCATGTTTGAGGTTAGGATCTCTATTTGCTGGACATCGTCCTCTCTCGTTATATTCTGTTTATTCTTTAATGTACTATCGGGAATGATACACGTATTCTCGTAATGAAACGTTTTGAGCGAGTTGTTCAATGAGTAGTTTGGTAGAGGTAGATCGTTGACGCTGTACGGAGCAGCTGAGTTGAAGTTGGAAGCCATGAGTTTGTCTTCGTCAGTAGGAGAATATATTTGCTTTTCCGCTATTCGAGTTTTATCTGGAACTGCGTATTCTATTACTTCGGAATTACCTGGAATTAATGGTTGTGTAAAAATAGCTGCAAGTGAAATAACAGATTTTTCGGAAAGTGTCATATGTATTGTATTGTAACTCGTGTAAGTGTATCAGAGTTAAAAGGTGCATAAATTAAAGACTTAATGTTAAGGTTGTGTATGTATGAGTGTTGTGTAAAGTATTTTGCATACATACCACAATTGGTGCTAGTTCTGACTGGCGTGTTCTGATCCCAGGACTCAACAGCGCTGTCGTTAGAGAGTCCTGGACTTGATGTGGAATGACTTGAGTCTCTTGCGCTGCACTCGCCACTCTCTATTGAACCTGGATCACCAAAAATAATATTTGGATCCAAGTCTCTAAATTTGCAAAAATACATGCATGCATGTCTATAGAAGTACCCATTAGGTACTGACGTTTTCAGGTATATCCTCAATATTTCCATTTACCCGAAAACATGAATTTTGCCAAATCAACAAACGATCTACCGTAGAATATTGACCTCATTTGACTATTCTGTATTATCACCTGTATCTAATCTACATACTTATTCTTGGAACAAAATAAAACATACCTGTGACTTTCCTGCACAGCTGCAGTTGCACTCTTTGACCACTCGATTGCAGGAGCTTGATCGCTTCTGACAGAGGTTTGTTGAGTACACTTTCACCGTTAATTGTCAATAGTTCATCACCTATAGCCAGTTTGCCACATTTCTCTGCTACTCCCCCTGAAAAATGTTGGTTTATGTAAAGAAATTTTAGATTGCGTCGTCAAATCTTAAGTTAGGTTTAGTATTATAGCAGTCCGGTACATGAATCGCTAGGCCAGGCAGTCGTTAGTACCCTTTGTTCGGTATAGGACAGATTCTGGGATTGGACAGATTCGTGGATTCGGCAGATACTGGATTGGACGGATTCGTGGATTCGGCAGATTCTGTGATTCGACGGATTAGCTATACGACAGAAAATGAACAGTCGTGCTCAAAAAGATTGAGTAAAGTAAAAATTTCCTTAGTACGAGCCAATGATAATCAAAATTCTTTTCCAATTTGATGGACTAAACCTATGAAATAATGTTCTCACGAGTATTACTAAGAAAGTTGAAAGTTTATTTCAACAAAAACACAAAAAAATCCGAATTCTAAACAAAAAGGCTACGTCATAAGTGCGTAAAATTTTACCTTCAACGAGCCCGCTTAGCAAAATTGGCTGCGTAACATCCTCACTCCCCGCTATAGTGAGTCCTAAAGGCCCATTTTCTTGCTTGATCAGTTCTACAGTAAACACCGCTGTATTTCCATTCTCACTGCCATGACTTCTTTCGCTTTCTTTAGCACTATTATTAGGACTCTCTGTGTGATGACCAGAGTCAACCTCGCTATGAACGACAGCCTTTATTTCGATATTACTAAAACTTTGTAGTGTCAACTTTGCGTTATGCTTGTGGATATTGGACCAGTCTTCGGTTAGGTCGCGCTTCCGAATTTTTAGCGTGATGATATCTTCTGGAGAATTTTGTAGGATGTTGAAGGCGGTGTCCTGGAATTTTAAGTAATTGTTAATAATGCTTAGGACCAAGGCGGTTTTGAAACTTTATATTGTACCTATCCAGTTTTTTATTAACACCTCAAGTTCTGCGAATCGAAACAAAAGAAATCAATTGTTACGCGGTCTTTATGTGACCGGGTTTGATCGGTTTAAAAAAATCTAGACAAACACTTTCGTTCAAAAGTCTTGAATGTTAAAATTTGTGAAACACATAATCTAAATAAATCATGCAAAAAAATCTATTTGATCTGAAAGGGGTGATTCTGGTGCTTAAATGCAACATTTTTTGTATTGTTATTGTTTGTTGTAAGTTAACGACATAAAGCTGAAAACAAGTGTTGAGCTGAATCTTACCAAAGACAGATTATGTAATGGTTGCCCATTGATGGCTAAGAGCTGGTCTCCCGGCGCCAAGGCTCCGCTCCGGTGCGCCACCGACCCTGGCTTGATGTCTGATATCACCATCGGCTCTTCGTTGCTGAGCAGTTTTTGTTTGCAGCCTAAAATAACATTTATTAATTAAAAGTTTGTTGCACAAAGATAGCACAGAAATGACGAAAGGAAAGTATAAATTAACAAATTAATTAGACCTTATTATTTATTAAAGAGATAAAGTAAAAGCTTACGTTTAAAATGAGATTAGATTGTCCGACAACAACATGCTATGTAGAGCCAGCTCTAAATGACAGATTTTCTCAATCAATTTTAAACGTTAACAATTTTGTGATATATCCATATTTCATTGTCATGATCCTCATTACAGACACTATTACAGGCATAGGACATTCACTGCCGACATAGGCCTCCCTAAATGATTTCATGCCGGCTAGGATGCTGGCCGTGATAAAATGGATGTTAGACGACAAGGAGTGTACGGGCTTATCTAGTAAAATCGATAAAATCTTATCGCGGCGCGCATCCTAGGCTTACAGATTGTTTAAAGATACTGTAATACTACATAATTGACATTGGATACTTACCTGTAATAGTAACACCGAGCCCCGCAGTGGTCTTCGCCAATTTCACATTGAACACGCCACTCGACGCCTCTATAGTGTTCGGCATACTGAACTCAACGTTCAGAGTCAAGTACTTTGGGTTGTGAGAATCATTCCGCCTTTGCAAAATTTCATTAGCAACATCAACAGTCAGGTTTTCATGGCCGTTGATTGACATAACTCTGTCCCTTATTTGTAGACAGCCGGATCTGAAATAGTAATAATTATTTCTAATTGGAACACCGAGGGCACTTCAACTTGTGTTCGAGTCGAAATCAATTCGAAAACGTAATTGAGAGCGGAGTTCCTTATTGACTCACGCCATTGCTGTAAAATTGAAAATAATAATTATTTTGTAGTGGCTCGACGGGCCTAATCTTATGCTTCGAAGTACTTGTCGTAATGATAATATGTACATAATTTATTTTCCGCGTAGGTATGAGGTAAAAATTGTGATAATTATTATTTTTTACATTAAATTACAAATCAAGTCGTGGAACAAATACATGAAAATCTGTAAGTTGAGAGCGAGAGAAAAAACAAAAGAATATCGATATTGATCGTCGAGAAAAAATGCTTTTCTTGGTGGCCAGTGTCACGCGACCAAGGAGGCGATCGTATGCAACATACTTTATGTTGTATCAGTTTTGGCAATAAAGAAAAGAAATCTATCGGCAAACAGTTTTTTATCTTTATTTCGAAAGACTGGCGTATTCTTAAATTGTATCGTCTATGACATAAAAATAATTTGCACCCTACAGTTTCATTCGCTCTACATTGTATTGAAAGGTTATGAGTAAAGTGTGCGCACGTGAACACATTACTCGTACGTCCAAATTTAAAAATGTATAATAACATGGAATAAGTAGTCTCTGAAAAGGCGTAATCATTGGAACCCTGATTAGTTCTTAGCCATGGTAGGTACTTAATAGGTAAACATTAGCTAATTTTCACCTGTAAGCCGGCGACTGCGCAGCGACATGCGATATCACCAGCGCAGCATTGTCCTCATGCACCGCCAGTCCGCTGCTCTGTCCTGGAGGCACCTCGAGCTGTATGTTCAGAGACTCCGTCCGACACACGCCCAGGCTCATGTAGTTTTGTTGGCTGTCTGGTAGACAAAAAAAAAAAGAAAAATATGTCAATAAAGTTAGAAAGCCGTAGGCTGTCGTAGCTATAGCGAAGAGTACAGGACTATTCATACCTCTCGTTCCCACCGCTGCAACTCCTGTGTAGCCAGGATCTATAGCTTGACCGCCAATAAAAGCCAACCAGTGAGGATCAAGTTTGACCCGGGGGAAAGTTAAACTGTCATTGAACCCGCAACAAAATTAATCGGAAAATCAAAGGAGGAGTTCAAAGTTAAGATTCGACTTCCCTCCATTGCAAAGCGGATGACAGGTGACAAACAAAGGTTAGCAAAAAGTAGGCACTCTGGCATCTACCACCTCCTCCATAATATCTCTATGGATGTCAAAAAAGTCACGGCGACAAAAGTCACCCGTGCGCGCGAGCCCTAAAGTTACTTTAGTAGGGAGCAGTTTGCATAAAAAATATGGGACATTAAGTTACGGTTAGTAAGGGTAACACATTTTTAACGTCTGTTTAAATTTTTTGTAATAAAACCAGTACCTATAGTTTGTGTGCTGTTAACTCTACATAGTCATTAGCTAGATAGTTATAGATTTTATCTCACTTACTTCGAAAATTTCAAATGTAAAAACCAATGAACATTGGATAACCCACCATTAAAAAAAAATAGAGTTAGCAGTACATCACATTTTAATTAAAATATAAGGCACGGTAATGTCGGTAATATTGCTAGAATGACCGGTTAACATTACAGGGACATTTTATGAAAATTTCCAATAAAGAAAAAAATATTTGTACCCAATACATTAACTAATTAGCGTATATGCCTATACAAATCTAGTAAATCAGTAGATTGCATATTTGCACAAGTTTCAAACTAGGAAACAAACAGAGCCCTAAATAAACAAATGAATCGCGAAACAAGGCTCCAAATACCGCAGAACACGGAATTGTCTTCAAAGGTATTCCGGGAAAGCACGAAATCAAACAAACGACAGCATCCTATATAATTATTCCCTTGTAACTAGATCAAAGAAAGCGCCCTTAAGTACTAGTAAACATCATAACGCTAAAATGGTAATAAAAAACGAAGCATTCTTCTTCTTCTTTTCGTGTCCACAACAAACCTACACAGTGTTAGCCCAAAACTCCGCCACAAGAGTGGTGTTGTCAGCAGCACTCATCAAATCCTCCTGAGTGCAGTTGCTTGGGCACTCAGGGCACGACATCAGGTGCTTCGTCGAATGGGGAACAAAACCGCACCTGCACTCCATGTTTAAGCCATCCAAGAATCCCCACCTGACCAGATTCTACAAATGCATATGCGGTAGTTTGTGAGGATGTATGTAAGTTTCTCTTTCACGCAAATAACTACTGAACGGATTTTCATGAAACTTTACTATGTTATTATTGTTAGGTAGGTAGGTACAAAGATTATTATATAGGCTATAATTCCAGATCCGTAAACGAACTAAAACCGCTGACATAGCCCGACGGATTAGCAAGCTGAAGTAGCAATGGGCAGGGCGCATAGTACGCAGAACTGACGGCCGAGGGGCAGCAAGGTTCTGGAATGGAGGCCGCGTCGACCGTGTTCGGAGGGACGTCCACCCACAAGGCGGACCGACGACATCGTAAAGGTAGCAGGGAAGCGCTGGACGCAGGCCGCTACCAATAGATCAACATGGAAAGCATTGGGGGAGGACTATGTTCAGCAGTGGACGTCCTATGGCTGAAATGATGATGATGATTAGGCTATAATTTATACGTTCTGTGAGAAACTGAATTAAACAAAATACACATGGCCCAAAAGATAGAGTTTCAAGATACAGTTTGATTTCGTGCAATACAGAGTTAAAATTACGGACAGAGGCTAAGTTGTTAAAAAACTATTTCTAAGACTGAATCGCGGGCAAAAGCTAGTATAAAAAAAGATTAAGTACCTACATACTCTGAAGTAAAGAACTAAAAACACTTCTTCCATATCGTGGGTATAATAACAACTGAGATAACAGCTTAACCGTTATATCGTTTTTATTCAAACACAGCCCTTCCAAATCTACATAGGTTTATTTTCTTGTCCTTACCATAATCATCTTGTAAGCCTAGTTTGGGCATCGAGCTTTGCCTGTAGTTTCGCTGCCGGTGTTTCTTGGGGTTCAGCGTGCCGGATATGGAGTTTTCTGTAAAAGAAAAAATATTTGTATTTGAAATGAACATGAAGATTTAATCATTAAAATGAAGTTTTTGTTTCGAAATATATTTCATAGAGCAGCACTTCTTATACAAATAAAATAATGACTGCTGTAAATCCACATCTCATTAATTCAGTGATGCACATATTTTTTTCTGTATTGACATATTTTAACTTAAGTGTCTCATCTAATATTTTAGAAAAAACATGTAACATCGGATCGAAAAAAAAAACCTAAGAAAATAAAAAAAACACAACCGTTTCTTTAACAGTAAACAATTGACAGTCAATAAAAAATATGAACAAATTAAAAACTCAGTTGCCAGTTCTCCCAAAAAGGCCCGCAACATAATTGAAATATTTTTAATGACCGAATCATAGCTTTATAACTGGCTTTATAAACTCGTTTAACCGAATCCCTTACAGAGTTTTACCAAATGCAAAACTTTAATTGGAGAATTAATTTCAAGCCAAGGCAATATTTGAAATATCTCAAAATTCGATGGGCATTGAAATATAAGCCAGTATTGAGGATTATGTCGGGAACAGAATTCCTGTTCATCAAACTTATGAAACTGGATTTGCCTTATTCCAAACAACCTAGGATTATAAGGGCAAAAGAGTTTACTTTTATGAAAGTGTTTTTCTATAATAATAACTTGCAGTAATGGACAGATTAGTATGTAATTGATATAAATATTTCTTGACTTTATTATAACACTTTAAACCAGTAGACTAATGCCCGTTATCACCATCAATCCCTAATTTTTAAGTGACCCCTATTGTAACACATAACAGGAATTTAGTTTTCGTATGGGTCATTTAAAAATTAGGGATTGATGGTGAAAACGGGCATAACACCCATAATTAAATAATTAATTAATCCATTAGATGTCAAGGTAGCACCAATTAATTCCCGTACCTAACTTTAAACATATGAAATCTAATACCAATTTTCTTGAAGGTCGCTTGTAGGAGATTGTAATTAATGTTCACTACAGGGACAGTCTTGTCTTGAACTAGATTTGTTAGGGCCAAGATGGAAAAGGGCTTATCACAAACCTTATCGCCTTGGAATAAGGTTGACACAACTGTGAATTAATGTCTTTCCCCAACACCAAATCTTGAATCATGCTCGAGGCATGACATAGTAAAGAAAACAGTAACATCCGTAATTCTGTGGGCGTAGTGTGAGTTTACATCAAACGCATTTGACTTCGATTGCGCAAAAAAGTGACATAGAACCTGTAGCCTTATTCACGTAACAAAACTTCAACGACAACAAAACACGGAGTTGCGATCCTATCCTATCTATAAATGACCCTACAAATACTGATTTAGAACTGTTTTTCAATGGGACGACTTCTGAAAGTTAGCGAGATCTTGACTGTCTGAAATACATGAAATCAAAATCAAAATTAAAATCAAAAAATATTTATTCAGTTTAGACCACAAGTGGCACTTATGAACGTCAATAGAAAATAATAAAAAAAGAAAAAGGTAGCCCTTATGGGGCACTTTACATGTCTCCTTATATTTTGGGCCCTACCAGCGCTTCGAGACAAACATATGGCAAGTGCTGAGAAGAAACGCCGGAACAAACTCAGTCACCACTTATTGCCAGGAATTATCTAACGGTAAGAATAGTCAAATTTAAGTACATCAAATATGTGCAGACTGAACTGACCACGTGAAATTAGGCAACTGATAATACTATGTCCTATACCTTTACTGTGTCACAGGGATAGGCCTTGTGGGAAAATACTAAAGAAGTTAGCCAAACCCCGACATCAACTGTCGTTTATTAGCTTAGGCACATCAGACGTGGAACTAAGTGCGAGTTATACGGGAGAAGTTTGATGTTCATACGCTCATTCGTTATTACTTGTGCGCAAGCGACAAGAGAAACGCTGGAACTTGGTTTGTGTGCGGTTTTTTATTCACCACAAGGAAGATCTTGGCCTGTATCACACCTGATGGTAAGTGATGATCAGGCCGAAGGTGGAAGCGAGCTTCACCCGGAATCCTCAACCACGGAAGAACTGGCTATCTTACCTCTAACTGCCGGAACACAACAATGCTGTTAACATTGTTGCTATGGCGACAGACTTAGGCAAGATGGTAGTAAACCGAACAGAAAAATCAGCCCCCACTGGGAATCGAACCCGGGACCTCTGCGTCTGAAGCAGATGGTCTTACCATTAGACCACAGAGGCAGTTTGTTGGGAACTGCAGTGTAAGACATACAGATTTTGTTGCAAAATAACATCTACTATAAGTACACAAGATGCAGTGTTTAATTTGTGCTGGCGTCTGTACATAATTTTCGAGTTTCGAGGTGTCGACGCTACAGTTTTCTATTTAGAAAACTTTCTTGTCGCAAAGGTTTGGAGTTAGTTTTCAGGTGGAGCTTGTCAAAATGAAAATGAGTAAGAAAGTTGTTTTGGTAACCATAGATAAAAAATATTTTTGAGTTCTTTTTAGTTGGAATAGGAATTGAATCTGTGCTTTATCTTAATCTTACCTGATGGTAAAGGGATGATCAAAATTAGAGCTTAAATATAGAGGAAATAGACTTACTTATCAGATAGCTGATGACTTTTTGTCCACATGAAAAAGCCATGTACCTACATCATATCCCCATGTTAACTAGTATCAGTATAGCAGTGCAACAATAAATAAAAGGGACGAATAGGGCCAATATAGAATGTTTGTAGGATAAAACTCCACAATCGAATTCAATTGACTGTTCCGTCAGTTCCGTCTATTAAGGCACTCGCTTCATATTAGCCATAATACGTCCGAAAGTCAAATAGCAATCAAAGTAAATAAGGAAACGGGTGCCGTTTATATGATACTACGATCGGATACTACGATACTAAACCCCATAATAATACAATCAAATATGTGCCTTAAGACGTTATAATAGGAAACAATATAGCGTCACAAAGGCGTCTTTGCTTAACATAATTACGTGTTTAATTAGGCGGAAAACTTCACGTTAAGGGCGACCCAGATAAGAGGGTTTTCTTAGGTATTCACACTGACCGGTCAATGTTTTCCACTAAGGAGTTACTTGCATCTTAGGAACGATGGAAAGAGAAGGATACTCGTATGTTTTAAGCCTATATTTAGCCTTTCGTATAATATAGCGGAATACTTCCTTGACTTGCCTTAACATCAGCTGAATCATAATCATCGTCAATCTCGTTTATCAGCAATGAAATATGCAAAATAGGTACATAAATAAGATTGCAATGCTTTTGTTTTTAACATGTGGGACGCCAAGCGACTCACCTGTGAGCCTCGAAGAAAAAAAAATTGTGTCTAATGTATCTCGGCAGTCAATGACTTAAAATGTTCTTTCTTTACAAGATGTCTTGATGACAAATAACTACTAACATGGAGTAAATATACCACACAATCATGTATATAGTAAAGTTTCATTAGTTTACATATCGTCTGCTATAGATGACCCAAGCTGAACTGTCCCACCAAACTCAATGACAGGGGGGCGCTACCATCGTTCAACTATATGGTTTCCAACATGGCAAAACCCGGTATTGACGGTGGCGCCCCACTGTCAATGTCATCGATAGGACAGTTCACTATTTTGGAACTATAATTCTATCACCACATACGTCATTTTTTGGCGGTTTTGACATTTTGATGACATTCGCTAGCTAGAGAATCAAAAGACGCGTCGTTTCGTCCAATCTCCTAAAAAGAGTATTTTATTTTCAACCGACTTCAAAAAAGGGTGGTCCCATTTAAATTTGATAATAGAAAAAACAATCCCCAAGGGTGGAAAATTGGGAATGAACTTTTTTATACGCAATATCTCCGCCGATTATTAATCAATTTGAACGATTATTTTTTTGTTGAATAGGTATTATCAAAAGGGTGGTTTCATGCGAATTTGAAGAAAATATTTCACCCCCAAGGGTGGAAAATTGGGGATGAACTTTTTTATACGCAATATTTTTAATTTTAGTTTTTTTTTGTGTTCACGCATTTGAAGTCGGTTTTATTTTTTAAAAAAGTTAATTCAGATTTTATTCCATCAGAAGTACTTAAACGACAAAATGACACTTTTAGTGCTATCCCTACCAAGTTCAAATCCTGCCAATAAAAGGTCTTTACAATGAAAAATGCGATGGCGATCTTTACAGTGAAAAAGGTCTGCGAGCGGCGCAGGACCGGTCTTTGTGGAAATCCTTGGGGGAGGCCTTTGTCCAGCAGTGGACGTCTTTCGGCTGAAACGAACGAACGAACGAACAGTGAAAAAAACTTCACTAATGCTATCGTCGTTTCAGCCAAATGACGTCCACTGCTGGACAAAGGCCTCCCCCAAGGTCTTCCACAGTGAACGGTCCTGCGCTGCCCGCATCCAGGCTCTTCCCGCGACCTTTACCAGATCGTCGGTCCACCTAGTAGGAGGCCTGCCCACGCTACGTCTTCCAGCCCGTGGTCGCCACTCGAGAACTTTCCTGCCCCAACGGCCATCGTCTCTACGAGCTATGTGCCCCGCCTAATCCTATAACTTGCACCAAACCACTAGTTTATTTTCAAGTTGGGCCATTCAGAACTTGGCTGTCGGCACACCAAGAATTAACTCGGTAATCATTATTTCCTCACAACTATACGAAGAATCCAAGCTTTCAGCATAGTCGTTAAAACCCTAATTGGGTAAGTAATTAAAGGTAACATAAGGAGTGGAAGACTCAAACACTTTATATTTAATGTCTTCATAAACTCAAGTTTCATATGCCGCTGTGTTTTATTAAATTAGTTGCTTCTTAATTCTTAATGATAAGATTACTAAAGTAAATGCATTCATGAAAGATGCATCTAAATAGAAGATTTACCATCGACAGCTAGAGCTGTACCGGCAGACGTCCTGTCTTAAAAAACCGGCCAAGTGCGTGTCGGACTCACGCACAAAGGGTTCCGTACCATTGATTTATGAAATTATTTTTTTTTTAAATTTAAGTTATTTGTATGAAAGGTTACGCGGTAATAAGCGGTTTACGATTTACGAGGTATTAAAAAAACTACTTATTAGATCTCGTTCAAAATAATTTTCGTTGGTAGTTTTTATAGTAATGTACATCATATGTTTTTTTTTAGATTTTTNAGTATTTTAGAAACCTCGATATCATTTTTGAAGACCTATCCACAGATACCCCACACGTATGTTTGACGAAAAAAAATTTTTGAGTTTCAGTTCTAAGTATGGGAAGCCCCCAATATTTATTTTTATTTTTTATTTTTGCATCAAAATCTTAATGCGGTTCACAGAATACATCTACTTACCAAGTTTCAACAGTATAGCTCTTATAGTTTCGGAAAAAAATGTCTGTGACATACGTACGGACAGACGGACGGACAGACAGACAGACATGACGAATCTATAAGGGTTCCGTTTTTTGCCATTTGGCTACGGAACCCTAAAAAAGTTAAATAGCCGTTAAGTATACTCAATTTCTTTAAGTTTCCGCGCAACTTTCTGAATGTTTCTTACACGAACCTTCTTCTGACAATAACAAACAACAAAAAAGAATAGGAGAAATCGGTCTATAAATAATTTTGCTTTATTTTTTATTTATACCCAAAGTTGAGTAAAATACGGTCGCCGTAAAACGCTGAAGAGTTGATGTAATCACTCTTCAAAGTTTGGAAAGGAAAACGAGAGAAAAACTCAAACTTAACGTCACATTTTGATGGCCTGCATCGGGCGAAGTTCGGAAGTAAATGGACCTTGGACACTTTAAAATGGACATTAATTTAATTATGAGGAGAGTAAACTGAATTTACTTCAAGGCAAAATGCTAGCTGTTTTAAGCCTAATTAGTTTGCCCGCGGCTCCGCTCGCGTCAAACTTTGGATCCCTTTGGTTTCATCCCCTTATTTTGGAAATGGTTAGGTACTCGTCAATAACACTATTTGCGTGTCAAACAATCAACCAGTGGTTTAAGTTGTGTGTTTGAAGATCAGTCAGTAACATAGTAGTTTTTAATATTGGCAGTGCCTCCGCTGCCGGCGCCGGTTCCCAAAATTAGGGAAACTCTTAAAGGCAACCGGCAACAGAGGATTGTGAAGCGCAAATCGCTAGAGCCTAGATTCCAAAGCCGTACTTTTTATTACTTCAACGTTTATTTGTATTATTTTCGATAGCTACGATATTACAGACATAGGGATGTAGAGGAGCGATTTATTAGCGTTGAATCTGAAATGTTACTGCTTTTATATACAGACATATTCAGAGTACCTATAAAATACGGTTTGGAATAAAAAACTCTTTCTTATTTTGTTGTTTTTTCGATATCGCAAAACATGATATTCCATTTTAATTCAATTCAGAATGCCTTTCATGCCGTATCGGATTGGCAGCATTTCATTAACTTTGTTTCAACGAGAAGACAGATCTGTTGATTCTAGGCCGGATTCATATTATGTTTAAAACGAGCTGAAGTTGTTTCTTTATAAAAGAGTAAAGAATAAGCTTCTTTGTAAAATAATTCAGACTCACTGTGTTGGTTGATCCAACCCTTTAGTAATTGAAAGTAGTAGAGAAACTTTGACGTTGAAGTTTTGAGACATTTTGAATCCTATTATTGTTTTTTTTATGCATAACAAGGCAGGTATTCGACCGCAATCGCACCTGGTGTTAAGTGAGATGCAGTCTAGGATGGTACATAATATCTGCCCTGTAAGTTAGTGCCTATTCACTCTCGCCTTGAAAAGGCCCAGATTATAGTGTTCAGGATAGTTTGATTGTTTGCAGACAGTCCACTGCAGTGGTGACTGAGTTTGTTGCGGCGCTTCTTCCCAGCACTTGCCAAATGTTGGTCTCGAAGCGCTGTTAGGGTAAAAAGGTTATGAGACATATAGAGGCTCCTTAAGAGTAAAACATTTGACGATTTGTCTAAGTATACAAATAAAGAAATTTTGACTTCGCAATCGTTTTTTTTAGAGTTCTTATTTCCTATTTCCTATTTACGTGAACTTCCCCTTCTTTTATGTATCCTACTTTAGCAAAAGTCAATTTAGTCTCCTCTGAAGTTGTACGACTCTCTTTAATTTACAGTCAAAAGCTAAGATTTGGTCTACACTCCCCACTTTGACACGGCCTTATTCACGTAACAAAACTTCAACGACACCAAAACACTACGTTGCGATCCTATCGAGTAATCATTCTATCAAAATGACCCTTGTGAATGCGGAATTAGAACTGTTTTTCAATGGGACGACGTAACAAATCTTCAATGACAACAAATCGCTGAGTTGCGATGTTATCGAGTAATCGTTCTATCGAAAATAAACCTTGTGAATACGGATTTAGAACTGTTTTTCAATGGGACGACTTCTGAACGTCAGGGAGATCTTGACTGTCAAAATACGCCACACTAATTAGGCCACAAATGGGTTACGGAAACCTGGTGCCTGCATATTTCTATCTTAGTCACCTCTTTTGGCCTACAGAGTGGGAGTAGTCCAATTTCATGTTGGAACTACAAGATTAAAAAGCTAAATATCTTACCTCTTGTAAACCTGCCACTGCCATGCACCACCACGTGCCTCGGAGCCACGTGGAGCCTCGTGAAGCCTCCCTCGCAGTTCTCCAAATAGCACATCACCTCTTCAGCGGTGTAGTTGTTGCCGTCTATCACGTGGTCGTCGAAGGCCAATAGCTGGTCTCCGGGGTGGAGAGCACCACATCTGGGAATCGGTGAAATTGGTTAAAAGTTTTGTAGGTAGTTTCTTTTGGGGGTATTTTCTATTTTTTGCAAATGGCTGATTGATGCCTTATGTAGGTACTTTACCCAAGACAGTATTTAAAACAATTTTCATTTACAATCTTTCTAATCATATAGCTGCTTGATTAATACTTATGAGTTGAGCGATATGTGCAGCGTACAAGTTCAAAATATAAACTTGGTTTTTAGTAAGGTATACGAAAACTTTGTTAGGTTCTTACTTGCAGAATTTGTAACTTGAGGTTTTACAAACATTTGGCGAGTTACGTATTCAGCAGCTAGGCCAAGCTTTATTTCTCTGTAATATGTGGAATTTTATATTCTTGCAGCTATGATTTCAGTCTTCAATTTGGTACACAATTTATGATTGCAAGTATTGCATTAATCAAGCCTTTTTTAATGAAAAAAAAAAAAGATTGGTACTAAATAACTCAGCGTTTTCTTACTGTTGTAAACCTAAGATGTTTTTATAGTTATGTCATTGTTGTAAACTAGGTACACAAGAATTTGTTTTATCTACAAAGCCTTCTTATTGGTCCAGTTTATTCATTTTTGAAATAGCATACTAGTTCTGATGAAAATTTGTCATGACTCACCTATCACTGATACTGGCTGGCAATATGCTGTCAATATAAATGGCGTTGCAACTCCCAACCCTCTGATAAGTGTCCGATCCAGAACTGTATACTTCGTCGGAATACCTCTGATTGGTCAGGAATATACCCAGGTCTTCGTTGCAGGGTCTTTCGATCTCAATGAGTAGGGGACCAGTGGCCAGTTTCACAGACTCCATGATGGAGACATCGTACTCTATCGTAAGGCTGGTCACTTGTGGACAGTTCTGGAGGATTTGGTGGACTTCTGATAGTGTTTTGTTGGTCAGCGATATCTGTGGAGAAGAATTTGGTTAAATCAATGTCGAATACCGATTGTAATGTCTTGGAGAAGGATTTGTTTACTGTCTAATGCTAATTTCAATTTATTTTCAACCGACTTTAAAAATGGAGTAGGATCAATTTTCTATTGTATTTTTTTTTCTATGTAGGTACCTATAACCTCCGTCAATTATATTGTGGACCGATTTTCAAAATTATTTTTCGTTTGAAAGGGTCTCCTTGTCATCAAAACAGGATCTGATGATGGGATCGTCGGGAAATCAAGATCAAACCTTTTACCTTAACTTATTATGTTACTTTTATCTTAATTAAAAAAATGTTTCCAATACTCACATGGTCGACCTTCAGTAGCCTGTCTCCCGGTTTAATCCTAGATGTGTTGTACGCTGCGCCTCCTGGCCTGACGTGGGTCACCACCAAAGGCTGGGCATCCAGCGACCTGCTGTTCAGGACCAGGTCTGCGCTTGGAGCCGAGTTCTCCGGCAGACCACCCCTGATGGTGATGCCAAGAGAACCGTTGATCTTCTCCACTGGCACCTCTGCTAGCTTCGTTGTGATGTACAAGGAGTTTTGGGAGGCTGAAAAGAAAGTTATCGTTAGCACTTTGGCAGTGGACCTCATATTAGTTACATTTTTAGAGAAAAAATATTAAATATATTTGGACAATTTCACACATCGCCATCTAGCCCCAAAGTAAGCAACTAATATGCTTGTGTTATGGGTGGTAACTTAACGGATATACTACTTATATACTTTTTAAATGCATAGGTACATAATTATGTATACATAGTAACAGAGATATTCAATCCATTTACCTAGTTTATTTTTACTAATAATGTTTGATCGTATCGCTGGCTGTTATGTTATAACTTATAACATTATAATTCAACTCAAACATTATATTGTGTAAAAAGTTTGTCAGCGCCTTTTGCAATAATACGGTACAACTCACGGCAACGAGAAGTTGCACATGTATCCACAAATTCAGGCGCTGTGCTTTTGTTAAGGGTTATAAACTAGCAATTTAAAACTTACAACGTGTGTGGAAAAGAAAGTAAATTCTAGTTCCCTTTTATAATTCGTCAAGCTCCACATAAGGCACGATCAAAGGTCAAAGTAGTTCTTGTTTCAAAGAAATTGCTTTCCCTGCATTTTTATTACAAGGCGCTAGAAAAGACGTTCCTTTGACTGCTTTTCGCATTTTCCATGGGAAAAAGGCAGCGAATTTTATACGACTTAATTTTACAATGTTTTATTTTAGAATCTTTTATTTTAATATCGTAACCTAGTTAAGTACTCGCTTGTTCATAGTTATAATTCTTGCAGCATTTAAAAGGTACATTAATAGTACACTACACCAAAAAAGGCAAAAAAAAATACATGAACCTTTGAAGGTCATCTGATTCCGCATACCTACCGGAAGTTTTATATGGGTAGGTACAATGATATTAAAGAACTATAGATATGTTACGTTCATAGAAATTACGATTTGAATCCGTGCCGAGCTATTCCAAATTGCACACATTGACAAATGTAACTGATAAGTGAAACAAAAGATACGAAATAGCACGCAAATGAAAGAGATAGCTATAGTTTTAACGATTCTGCACTAACTAATCTATGTCCGCAGCGCACGCATCCTTATCGCTCTAACGTCAAAACAAGATCGCTTTCTCTTTCTTAACTTGAACATGGCGCATGGCGTCTTGATTGTTTGCATAAATAATTGAAAATATAAATACTAAATAATTTTGCATAATCACATGTGGTAAGAGATCCCTTGTATTTTGTTTACTTTAGAGTCATAATTGGTACACTTTCGAAACACACACGATGGCATTTTTTATTTATTTTGGTAAGAACAGGAACTTACGGTGTGGTACGCACGCGATTGCGCACGACGCAGGCCACACGAAGACTAAACACAAGACGTCCCAATTGGGACGTATTTGAGTATTCACAGCGCGAGCGCTTATAACATATCTGCTTTTGTTTTTATATAATATCATTGGTAAAAGCGAAAGAAAAGAGATCATTGAAATACAATATAACAACCAAGTAAAAAAAATAAACCAAAGCGAAGTCAACTTTGAGTGAGTCAGACAAACATACAATGGAGAGTTTGATCCTGGCTCAGGATGAACGCTAGCGGGAGGCCTAACACATGCAAGCCGAGCGGTATAGTTTCTTCGGAAATGAGAGAGCGGCGTACGGGTGCGGAACACGTGTGCAACCTGCCTTTATCTGGGGGATAGCCTTTCGAAAGGAAGATTAATACCCCATAATATACTGGATGGCATCATCTGGTATTGAAAACTCCGGTGGATAGAGATGGGCACGCGCAAGATTAGATAGTTGGTGAGGTAACGGCTCACCAAGTCAGCGATCTTTAGGGGGCCTGAGAGGGTGATCCCCCACACTGGTACTGAGACACGGACCAGACTCCTACGGGAGGCAGCAGTGAGGAATATTGGACAATGGGTGAGAGCCTGATCCAGCCATCCCGCGTGAAGGACGACGGCCCTATGGGTTGTAAACTTCTTTTGTATAGGGATAAACCTAGATACGTGTATCTAGCTGAAGGTACTATACGAATAAGCACCGGCTAACTCCGTGCCAGCAGCCGCGGTAATACGGAGGGTGCAAGCGTTATCCGGATTTATTGGGTTTTAAGGGTCCGTAGGCGGATTTGTAAGTCAGTGGTGAAATCTCACAGCTTAACTATGAAACTGCCATTGATACTGCAAGTCTTGAGTGTTGTTGAAGTAGCTGGAATAAGTAGTGTAGCGGTGAAATGCATAGATATTACTTAGAACACCAATTGCGAAGGCAGGTTACTAAGCAACAACTGACGCTGATGGACGAAAGCGTGGGGAGCGAACAGGATTAGATACCCTGGTAGTCCACGCCGTAAACGATGCTAACTCGTTTTTGGGGCGTAAGCTTCAGAGACTAAGCGAAAGTGATAAGTTAGCCACCTGGGGAGTACGAACGCAAGTTTGAAACTCAAAGGAATTGACGGGGGCCCGCACAAGCGGTGGATTATGTGGTTTAATTCGATGATACGCGAGGAACCTTACCAAGGCTTAAATGGGAAATGACAGGTTTAGAAATAGACTTTTCTTCGGACATTTTTCAAGGTGCTGCATGGTTGTCGTCAGCTCGTGCCGTGAGGTGTTAGGTTAAGTCCTTTCTATCGGGGCTTGGGCACGAGTTTCCAGAAGAAAATATCAGGAAAAATGAAATCAGAGAAGGAAAACGATGCTCGTTGGGATTAAAAATGGCAGAAGCGGTGCTTCCAGACTTTGATTTCTCTTCAAGAAAGTGCCTTTAAGGTTAAAAACTCTGCAAAATAGGAGGAGGTAAAAGATGAAAAAATAGAGGAAAGACAGTGTAATGTAGAAAAATCTTACGTAACATTGAAAAAAGATGATCTGTAAAGAATCTGTTATCAGCGAGTTAAGAAAAAGTTTGAAAAAAGATCAAAAAAACTTGGTAAAAAGGCTTGTATAACTGAATAAAGGTGGTACTTTTGCACCCGCAACAGCGATAAACGTTCACCGAAATACTGACAAGAAGTTTAATTAAAGAGAAAAGAAATTTTCAAAAAAAAGATTAGAAAAAGCTTGTGAGAATGGAAAACGGATATTACATTTGCACCCCGCAAAATGTGGAAAGTTATTTGAAAGACTGGTAGGAGAAATGAAAAAATGAGACGAAAAAAAAGTTTCAAAATTTTTTAAATTTTTCTTGCGAGAAACAAAATAAATTTTTAGTTTTGCACCCGCTTTGAGAAGCAACTTAAGGCGGAGAAAATAAAGAAATACACGTTCGTAGACATATTGAATTGACAGCCGTTTTGAAAGAGATTTCAAAACAAATAAAATAAGAGTAATAGAGTCGTAAGATTCGAAAAGAACCGATAGATAATTCATCGCAATATAATATTAAAATATACGATGAAGAGTTTGATCCTGGCTCAGGATGAACGCTAGCGGCAGGCTTAACACATGCAAGTCGAGGGGTATATGTCTTCGGATATAGAGACCGGCGCACGGGTGCGTAACGCGTATGCAATCTACCTTTCACAGAGGGATAGCCCAGAGAAATTTGGATTAATACCTCATAGTATTATTGAGTGGCATCACTTAATAATTAAAGTCACAACGGTGAAAGATGAGCATGCGTCCCATTAGCTAGTTGGTAAGGTAACGGCTTACCAAGGCAACGATGGGTAGGGGTCCTGAGAGGGAGATCCCCCACACTGGTACTGAGACACGGACCAGACTCCTACGGGAGGCAGCAGTGAGGAATATTGGACAATGGGCGCAAGCCTGATCCAGCCATGCCGCGTGCAGGATGACGGTCCTATGGATTGTAAACTGCTTTTGTACGAGAAGAAACACTGCTTCGTGAAGCAGCTTGACGGTATCGTAAGAATAAGGATCGGCTAACTCCGTGCCAGCAGCCGCGGTAATACGGAGGATCCAAGCGTTATCCGGAATCATTGGGTTTAAAGGGTCCGTAGGCGGTTTAGTAAGTCAGTGGTGAAAGCCCATCGCTCAACGGTGGAACGGCCATTGATACTGCTGAACTTGAATTATTAGGAAGTAACTAGAATATGTAGTGTAGCGGTGAAATGCTTAGAGATTACATGGAATACCAATTGCGAAGGCAGGTTACTACTAATTGATTGACGCTGATGGACGAAAGCGTGGGGAGCGAACAGGATTAGATACCCTGGTAGTCCACGCCGTAAACGATGGATACTAGCTGTTGGGAGCAATCTCAGTGGCTAAGCGAAAGTGATAAGTATCCCACCTGGGGAGTACGTTCGCAAGAATGAAACTCAAAGGAATTGACGGGGGCCCGCACAAGCGGTGGAGCATGTGGTTTAATTCGATGATACGCGAGGAACCTTACCAAGGCTTAAATGTAGATTGACCGGTTTGGAAACAGATCTTTCGCAAGACAATTTACAAGGTGCTGCATGGTTGTCGTCAGCTCGTGCCGTGAGGTGTCAGGTTAAGTCCTATAACGAGCGCAACCCCTGTTGTTAGTTGCCAGCGAGTCAAGTCGGGAACTCTAACAAGACTGCCAGTGCAAACTGTGAGGAAGGTGGGGATGACGTCAAATCATCACGGCCCTTACGCCTTGGGCTACACACGTGCTACAATGGCCGGTACAGAGAGCAGCCACTGGGCGACCAGGAGCGAATCTATAAAACCGGTCACAGTTCGGATCGGAGTCTGCAACTCGACTCCGTGAAGCTGGAATCGCTAGTAATCGGATATCAGCCATGATCCGGTGAATACGTTCCCGGGCCTTGTACACACCGCCCGTCAAGCCATGGAAGCTGGGGGTGCCTGAAGTCGGTGACCGCAAGGAGCTGCCTAGGGTAAAACTGGTAACTAGGGCTAAGTCGTAACAAGGTAGCCGTACCGGAAGGTGCGGCTGGAACACCTCCTTTCTAGAGCCTCAAATGTTAGTGCTTGCACACGTTGAGGAAACAAGATGATTATTTATAGGATTCTGAATTTGAGATTGTATTACTCTTGCTGTTAATTTAAAAAATAATGAAAAATTAAGTAAAACAGAGTCTCGTAGCTCAGCTGGTTAGAGTACTACACTGATAATGTAGGGGTCGGCAGTTCGAGTCTGCCCGGGACTACTATTTAACTTAAAAAAAAAGGAAATTCTAGATGCTGGGATTCACCAAAAGAAATTAGATAAGAATTAAGGTGTCTAAAATCTGAATTCAAAAATCTAAAATTGAAAATGGGGGATTAGCTCAGCTGGCTAGAGCGCCTGCCTTGCACGCAGGAGGTCAACGGTTCGACTCCGTTATTCTCCACGAAATAATTGACAATTATCAATTGATAATTATTAATTGTTAAAGTTCATTGACATATTGAGATAAGAAAATAATAAAAAGTAGAAAGCGTTTTTTGTTATTTAATAACAAAAGACAAAAAAAAACGGTCTCGTTTTAAGTAACGAGATTGGTACAATAAGCAAAATAAGGGCGTATGGGGGATGCCTAGGCTCTCAGAGGCGAAGAAGGACGTGATAAGCTGCGAAAAGCTGCGGGGACGGGCACACACCGATTGATCCGCAGATATCCGAATGGGGCAACCCACTATGTTGAAGACATAGTACACCGATAGGTGGGCAAACCCGCTGAACTGAAACATCTAAGTAGGCGGAGGAGAAGAAAACAAAAGTGATTCCGTAAGTAGTGGCGAGCGAACGCGGATTAGCCCAAACCAATGTTGTTACGGCAATGTTGGGGTTGTAGGACCACGACATTTTATGTACAAGGAACCGGAAGTTACTGGAAAGTGACGCCATAGAGGGTGATAGCCCCGTATGGGTAACGAGTATAATAGATAGTGGTATCCTGAGTAGGGCGGGGCACGTGAAACCCTGTCTGAATTTGGCGGGACCATCCGCTAAGGCTAAATACTCCTGAGAGACCGATAGTGAACCAGTACCGTGAGGGAAAGGTGAAAAGAACCGTGAATAACGGAGTGAAATAGATCCTGAAACCATACGCTTACAAGCGGTCGGAGCCCTTTCGTGGGGTGACGGCGTGCCTTTTGCATAATGAGCCTACGAGTTAACGTTGCTGGCAAGGTTAAGTGATTAAGTCACGGATCCGTAGCGAAAGCGAGTCTGAATAGGGCGCTTTAGTCAGTAGTGTTAGACGCGAAACCGTGTGATCTACCCATGGGCAGGTTGAAGCTGTGGTAACACACAGTGGAGGACCGAACCGGTTGACGTTGAAAAGTCTTCGGATGACCTGTGGGTAGGGGTGAAAGGCCAATCAAACTCGGAAATAGCTCGTACTCCCCGAAATGCATTTAGGTGCAGCGCTGATGATAGTTATATAGAGGTAGAGCTACTGATTGGATGCGGGGGCTTCACCGCCTACCAATTCCTGACAAACTCCGAATGCTATATAATGTTTCACAGCAGTGAGGGCTTGGGTGCTAAGGTCCAAGTCCGAGAGGGAAAGAACCCAGACCATCAGCTAAGGTCCCCAAATATATGCTAAGTTGAAAGAACGAGGTTTGTCTGCCCAGACAGCTAGGATGTTGGCTTGGAAGCAGCCATTCATTTAAAGAGTGCGTAACAGCTCACTAGTCGAGCGGACGAGCATGGATAATAATCGGGCATAAGCATATTACCGAAGCTATGGATTTACAGTTTACTGTAAGTGGTAGGGGAGCATTCTAACAGGGTTGAAGGTGTATCGTCAGGTATGCTGGACTGGTTAGAAAAGAAAATGTAGGCATAAGTAACGATAATGCGGGCGAGAAACCCGCACACCGAAAAACTAAGGTTTCCACAGCTATGCTAATCAGCTGTGGGTTAGTCTGGTCCTAAGGCGAACCCGAAAGGGACAGTCGATGGCTAACGGGTTAATATTCCCGTACTACTAATTACTGTGATGGGGTGACGGAGTGATGAAAGCGCCGCGAACTGACGGAATAGTTCGTTAAAGTACCTAGCTATAAGATCTATAGGCAAATCCGTAGATTTTGGTGAAATACGATAGTACTCGGAGTCTTCGGACAAAGAGATAGTGCGCCTAAGGGCTTCCAAGAAAAACCTCTAAACTTCAGGTAATTAGTACCAGTACCGTAAACCGACACAGGTAGTTGAGGAGAGAATCCTAAGGTGCTCGAGAGATTCATGGCTAAGGAATTAGGCAAAATAGACCTGTAACTTCGGGAGAAAGGTCGCCAGCAGCAATGCTGGCCGCAGTGAAGAGGTCCAGGCGACTGTTTATCAAAAACACAGGGCTCTGCAAAATCGTAAGATGAAGTATAGGGCCTGACACCTGCCCGGTGCTGGAAGGTTAAGAGGAGATGTTATCTTCGGAGAAGCATTGAATTGAAGCCCCAGTAAACGGCGGCCGTAACTATAACGGTCCTAAGGTAGCGAAATTCCTTGTCGGGTAAGTTCCGACCTGCACGAATGGTGTAACGATCTGGACACTGTCTCAGCCATGAGCTCGGTGAAATTGTAGTAACGGTGAAGATGCCGTTTACCCGCAGTGGGACGAAAAGACCCTGTGCACCTTTACTATAGCTTAGTATTGACCTTGGATAAATGATGTGTAGGATAGGTTGGAGACTATGAAGCGGCGTCGCCAGGCGTTGTGGAGTCATTGTTGAAATACAACCCTTTGTTTATCTGAGGCCTAACCCCGCAATGTGGGGGACAGTGCTTGGTGGGTAGTTTGACTGGGGTGGTCGCCTCCAAAAGAGTAACGGAGGCTTCTAAAGGTTCCCTCAGTACGCTTGGTAACCGTGCGTAGAGTGCAATGGCATAAGGGAGCTTGACTGAGAGACATACAGGTCGATCAGGTACGAAAGTAGAGCATAGTGATCCGGTGGTTCCGCATGGAAGGGCCATCGCTCAAAGGATAAAAGGTACGCCGGGGATAACAGGCTGATCTCCCCCAAGAGCTCATATCGACGGGGGGGTTTGGCACCTCGATGTCGGCTCGTCACATCCTGGGGCTGGAGAAGGTCCCAAGGGTTGGGCTGTTCGCCCATTAAAGTGGCACGCGAGCTGGGTTCAGAACGTCGTGAGACAGTTCGGTCTCTATCTACTGTGGGCGTTAGAAATTTGAGTGGATCTGATTCTAGTACGAGAGGACCGAATTGGACTAACCTCTAGTGTATCTGTTGTCCCGCCAGGGGCACCGCAGAGTAGCTACGTTGGGAAGGGATAAGCGCTGAAAGCATATAAGCGCGAAACCCACCACAAGATGAGATTTCTTTTAAGGATCGTGGAAGATGACCACGTTGATAGGCTATAGATGTAAAGGCAGTAATGTCATAGTCGAGTAGTACTAATAATCCGTAAGCTTATGTACACCCTTTTCCTCTCTGGTTGAACAAACGAGAGAGGGAGAAACTTTCTAAAAATAGTAAATAAAAGTACTTTTCTTTATCTCAGTATGTTAAGATATTTTTTTTAATTATCAATTGTTAATTATCAATTGTCAATTAAAAAAGTTGCCTAAAGCAACTAACAACCTTAAGGTGGTTATTGCGGCGGGGCTCACCTCTTCCCATCCCGAACAGAGTAGTTAAGCCCGCCTGCGCAGATGGTACTGCAATTTTGTGGGAGAGTATGTCGTCGCCTTTCTTTTAAAAATCCTCATCATTCATTTGATGAGGATTTTTTTGTTTTATAATCTTTTAGAAATTATTGCTGTTTTTAGGACATACACTGCTTCCCAGCAATTGAAACCGCTGGCTGTATTTTTATCTTGGAATTCATTGCTGCTTAGAATCAGAGGATTAAAAAAGTTCTTTTGATTCGGATGCGTTAGGGATGGGAGCGGCATCCTTTTGTTTTTTTCTTTAAAAAACAAAAGATTAAGCGGACAGCCCGACCCGAAGGGAAACGCGATAATTATTTTGATTGCTATAATGTTGTATTTTAATTAATTATGATTTTTGTAAATTATATTTTTTTGCTGTCAACGTCATTAATAAACTGGATTACGCCAGTCATAAAGACTTTTTGATCGTCCCACATAGCTAAATGACTTCCGTTTGGACAAAATAAATAACGCCCTTTTTTGACTAATTTGCTTTGTTCTTCCATTGCTTTTGGATCCATAGTATCGTATTTCGCACCAATCATAAGCGTTGGGATTGTAATTTCATGCAATCGATTTTTGATATCCCATTTGGCTAATTTTCCGCTGATACCAAATTCGCTTGGACCTTGCATTAAGGTATAAATTTCTCCGTTTACATGTTTGCTGGCGCGATTTAATCCGTCTGGCCATTCTTTTAATCGGCATAAATGTTCTTTATAGAAGTTTGGTAACAGTAATTCCATATATTTTGGATTTCCAAAATCTTTTTTGGCTTCTAAAGCTCTTATTTCGGCTAGAATTTCTGGTTTCATTTGTTTTGCGAGAACTTCATCGGCATATTTATGTCCGAGAGGGAAAGAACCCAGACCAACAGCTAAGGTCCCCAAATATATGTTAAGTTGAAGCAACGCGGTTGGACTGCATTGACAGCTAGGATGTTGGCTTGGAAGCAGCCATTCATTTAAAGAGTGCGTAACAGCTCACTAGTCGAGCGGTCCGGCATGGATAATAATCGGGCATAAACATATTACCGAAGCTATGGATTTGTACATTAGTACATCTGGTAGGAGAGCATTCTATTTGCGCTGAAGCAGTACTGTGAGGTATTGTGGAGCGGATAGAAAAGAAAATGTAGGCATAAGTAACGATAAAGGGGGCGAGAAACCCCCTCACCGAAAGACTAAGGTTTCCTCAGCCATGCTAATCAGCTGAGGGTTAGTCGGGGCCTAACGCG